GCCACAATATTATCTACTGGCTTAACAGCTCAACAATTTAACCTTTCATAGTAAAGTCAAAACTTAAGTCTTAACTCTTTAAATCTGATATACATTTTTGAAATCACCTCAAGCTTGGCCAATAAACACATTACCAGCCCCGCCGATCATAAATTCATAATGAAATATGAGGCTAACCCGGGCGAAACCAAGGAAAAGCCACAGCCGAAAGCGAAACAGATACAAATGCTGTGGCCAGACCGAGACCAAATAAAATCCTGGCAGTTGGAAAAGGAAAATATAACTATACTATAATAAATACGCTACAAAGTAACAAACAGAACCCAGTTAGAGAGCTTGTCTGGTTTTCGGGAAGCAGTTCTCAGGGAAAGGGAACTGGGAAGCTGGGTGCTGGGAACTGGAAACGTCTGCAACATTAGTTTTATGATTATTTGTGGTATTTATTGTGGGGACAGTGGCCACCACCGAATGGCGGACAACACCTCCGCCCATCTAGTCACATATGGGTCCAAGTTTCTGCCCGGTTCAGCTTTAATTAGATTTGCACATTAGACAAAGACCAAGTCAGTTCGGCTAATGATACGAAGCCAAATCAAATTGGCATTCCACACACGAAAGTTCTGTTACAGTGGGTTAATGGGGTATCATTAATATTTGATCAAAATAAGATAATGGGTGTGGAAGGAATATGGTTTAAGGATGATAAATAAAGAGAACTTTGATTATTTTTAAATGTATCTAAAACTTAAACTTAAAAATATCTAACTTACTTTATTAGACCTAAACCACTTACTAAAAGGTAAAACTTCAAACTTACAAATCTTTTATTATTTTGTTTCGCGTTTCATAAACCCGCCCCACTGTGCTGGCTTCTGACTGCCTCTTTATGGCTGACTTGTTGGAGCTGCTAACTTCAGAGACCACGGTGCGATAAATACCAGACGTTTACAGTAGCCCGGAGAGCAGGATCAGGACCAGGACCAGGACATGTGTCCCGCCATCAATAATGCTTAATTTAATTCGAGCCGTGCGTACTTACTCCCATTTCCTGGGCGACGACTTCCGCTATCTCTTTAAGTCGAGGGGAGCGACTGCGTCCGGCACATGATTATTATTAGTTATGATGATGTATCCCTTTTAATGGTTCCGAATGGGGAGTGTGAACGTGTCCGGAGGACTGGTTAGAGGGTGCGGGGCTTGGTCCTGGCGAATATTAATAATTGTTTCTTTTTTTTTTTGGTGCTCGGTTTTTGGGGGCTGCGAAACACGCTAAAAATTAATTAAACGTTCTAGGCGAAGGGCATAAATATATATGTGTGTACATATTTTTTTTCATTTCTGTTTTTGCTCGGCCATTTCGTGGTTATTTATGCGCCTGGCTCGACCCAGCCCCACGGACTACGGATGGACTTCCCCGGACCGGATCCGGGCCTACACTTGATTCATTGTTTTTGCTGGCTCTGCTCTTTTGGCCCGAGTGTGAGCAGCACGCACTCATATTGCCAATTTATATTTGTATTAATTAATGGGCCAGTAAACAATTGCTGAAAGCTGCGCCATTAGTCCCGTTCCAGTCGATAGTGGGTGGTTCTCTGGGCTTGGATCGGACTACGGCTGGAAATGACTGCAATAATAAGCTTCGGTTCTGGCCACATAAATTACACATTTTTTTCATTTCATCCTGCAGGAGTTAATAACATTTTCATAACCGAATTGTGCGAAATTGACGCTGGTTATTAGTAAAGCATTTTTGTTTTTTGTGTCAGACTCCATAAATCTCTCTGTCAATTACGTTTTAAACTAATCGAAATGGAGAAAGAGACTCAAATAACTCGTTTTACTTTAAAGTGAGTATTACTGGTCCTGTAAGTTTAAGCAAATCTACCAAATTATGAAAACAAAAACTAAAAAAAGCTTAGAAGGCACTTTTGATAATCTTAACGGATATTCATAAGCATTTTACTGGCACTGTCTTGTGGCTTTAAGAGCTTAACAAGAGTGACTTCAGTTAAAGTCAAACGAAGTATTCATACAGCATCTTAGAAAACTTCTCACAACTTTGAAATACATTATCTTATCTATGTTATTTTTATAGCTACATCATAAGATATCGAATAATATATTTAGTCATGATAAACATCATCAGCATCATCTTTTTATCTGAGTACCTAACTGAATGCTTTTTCCTTCACCAAGTTCTTCAAATTTGACTGATTAATTTGTAATAAGTAGGTCTTTCACATAGTGCTTTTACTAATTTTGTGATTTGTAAGCTTGTAAGTTAAAAATAGTCAAAATAACATTTTACAAATCCCTATTTCCCTTAAACTCCCTGATTGCTCTCTTTAACTCCTGGGCACTTCAAGACTTTCCCATTGAAATGGAATAAAGTCTGGTGAAATTTTGCAATAAAACCGCACTGAGGGCGGTGAAAATACGGAAAACAATCGCTTGAAAAGCGCAGCCAAATGACAGGAGCAGATTGTCCCGTGCAGTCACGGCCCCAATAAAAGTCGCCATACTCCCGACTCTGCGCTGTTTGTCCACCCAACCCGACTCCGGGCCCATCCCCCGCCCAGGAAAGTAAGTACGGCAGCTGCACATTTACAATTTGCTGGCGGAGAGCGTGTGGCCCCCAGTTTTCGGTCATGATAAAAATGAGCGTCGGAAATGCGAATATAAATTCAACCATATCTGATGTACAAGTGTACATCTGACCAGGAGGATGGGCATGCTCATGACATCCTGGCAGAATGTGTGGCAGGATAAACATAATGGCGGCACTGCATTTGCCGGGGCCTGTGGCAGGGCAGGATGCCCGCCAGACAGGAGCAGACCAATCATCAGAAGTATGCCAGCGGCCGGAGGAAACGGCAGCGGAAATGACATGCAATAAAACACAAAGGCGCACGCATCGAGTGAAAGCTGGCTGGGAAAGCAGGAAAAGTAGGGAAAGCTGGCAAAACTCTCCCTTTGTCTGTTGCCTGTCGCTGGATTATAACGAAAAATGGCATCTAACAACAAAAATCTATCTGGCAAATGCATTCGCCCCGCCTGCTATCCCGGAATCAGGAGAAACTTTGCGGAATTACAATTGCAAAAGTTGCGTGCCCGGAGAGAGTCCTTGCCATTTGGCTGGTGACCACTGGAGCCGGGATCTCCACTCGCACTCGCACTCGGACTTTTGAGATATTTTCTGTATGTCTGTGCGTTAACGCCAAAGTCATTTGGCTTATCAATGCCAGACGCAGACAATTTTGGTCGCTTATCGCTTGGTCGCATCGCCAGTACCGCAGCATGCAGGTGGCACTGGAGAAGGCAAGGATGGGGGGATGCGCCCCGGGATGGGCGTTATTAAGTGGCCATTAGCCGGGCCTGGCGACAAACTGGACATGGCCGGGGCATCTCCACAAATTACACAGCTGCCAATGATTTGGTCGACTATCGGTAGCACACAGAGAAAATAGCACTTTATGGATGGAATCTAATCTGTTTGACTGAATCTGATAAGAGGAAAAGGTATTCGGGGGCAAGGATTATAATTCTTTAAGGGATGTTCTTAGATACTTACTTCAGATTGGGAATTATATGTAGTAAGAACGAATTAGTGCGTACTTAAGAGGTATTCCTATTGGTCTTAGAGTAGGAACTGCAACTTATAAGAACATATCTTACTAATCATTCGATTCTAGCAACTTGATAAGTAGAACTTGCAGATCTACCTGTTTTTAAGGACTTTACAGATGCATCTTCCCAAAATGTTTTATAATTCCTGAGCAATTACTTAGCAGATACTAGAACTGAAATCAGAACAAATGTTTTTACATTACACTTAAAATTCCTGACCATCTGTCATGGACATCTTCTCTCAGTGCATGGCAACGAGAGGAATGTATGCAAACATGGTTGAGCTGACGGGTGGGGTGCAAGTTGTTGATTCTAACAAAGTAAGCAGGAACAAGGGTTCCACTCGCCTCCGCGGTTCCTTGTCCACTGCCGGGCTGTTCCCCATCGAAGTGGCCAGCATTATTTGCTAATTACGCCCTGCAGCAAGCGTTGCATGCCTGTGATTGCTCATACTTGGAATGGGTTGCCAACCAGGCGGTACCTGGTCACAGTGCCAGGCCCTATTCCCCAGCTACTGCTCCAGTCCCATCCCAAGACCGTGTGCCATAACTTGGCATCAACTTATTAGCTTGCCTGCCTTATTTTCGATTTTAATTTCGACGTTGCTGCCGTTGGTGGATGCCCAGCATGCAAATGCTCGACATGCGCGTAATTTGTATTCATTATCTGATGCATAATTATACAGCAGATACGGCAGTGCAGCCATAGGAGCTATCAGAACCATCGGAACCCACCACCAGGTCACCAAATCAAGTATTCCTTTAAGCCCGACAAAGTGTCCCAACTAATGCAGGAAATGGCATAAACATTCGAATACTATTTGGGAGCTGCATGTTGCATGTCCGAAACGGTTGTTGGGTTAAATGGGCAATGAATTCAAATTCAAATCTGGGTAATCCAAACACGGTTAAAGGTTTGGGATAAATGTTGGTCCACCAACGACTTGTTTTTTATTTCCTAATTTGCATACTATAAGAAAAGTCAATGAATTTTAAAAACAATGTATTCCTACTGTAAACCGTTTACTTTTATAAAGTTCAGCTAACCATAACAAATTTTAGTTTTATGGAAATCATTTCTGAAATATGATATAAGCAATGTCAAGGAAAGTTGCAAGCAACATGTCTTGGGAGATAACTCTATAGCTATTCAGAGATGTTCAGACGGCTTAAAGTTAACTTTATCCTTTCAATAGTTGGGTAGTAAAATGAAAATGTTGTTCTTAACAAATGCAAAGTATTTCAAGTTCATGAAATCATGAGGTTTTAGGAGCTAAAAGATAAACAGAGGTAGACACAAAAAAGATACAAATACAAACCATTTGACTGATATCTCAAATATGAAACTGAAAAGCAATTAAAACCGCCTTCGTATACACTTTCTTTGAACTCTTTATTCTCGTGAATGTCATACAGTTTGTCCGCTTAGCCTAAAGTTATTGTAGAGTTTCATTAGCCCAATTGCTGGCTTGTGAGTCTCGAGGAACCCTTAGCCCATCCACTTATTTGTCTAGCCATTAGCTTAGAGTATCTGGTATATCTAGTAGAGTATATCTAGCAATGCAATAAATATAAATAAAGTGTATAAATAGGGTTACCTGCAATGTAGAGGGCTATCTTCCCCAAGCTACTTGCAGTTGTAAAAATATGTATAGTTGAATCTTCAATTAGCTTAACTAGGGATGTGTATTTGGAACAGTGTTGGCTCTTGTGGTAGGGATTCTCCTCCTCCTTCGGAGCTGCATATGTATGGTTGTGAGTGGATCTTAACTAGGCGCCTTAATGTCAAGTTGAACTTTATTTTGCTTTGTGGTGTGGCAGTTGCCTCCGTTCCGAGGAATTGATGATTCCCGCGAGCGTTCTGGGCCACTTCGTTAGCCACGAGTTGGAGTTGCCCATGGCGCCACATTAATAACATCTGGATTTGCATCTGCATCTGCATTTGGATCTGGAACTGCCTTCGTGGCTGGACTCTGATTGGTACACCCTCCGGCGGGCGGCATCACGAGATAATGCAGTTCTTGTCCTTGTCGCCGCCCATCTCGCTGGGCTTCCTCTTCCGATCGTACGCCAGTGCATCGTTGGGCACATAGCTCACGCGCACGCCGCCGTAGTGGCGCCTCTGCGGCAGCTGGTACATCATCATGTAGTCCTCCGAGCTGGAGGAGCTCGAGGAGCAGGTGGAGCAGACGTCCGACTCCTCGGACTCCTCGCGTTCCCTCTCCCTTTCCCTCCCGCTCTGCTGCCGATTGGGCGATTCTTGGGCCAGGCTAGCAGCTTGGAGTACCGAGGGCGGACCTTGGTAGGAGGAGGAAAGGGGCTGCGCAGGCGCATAGGTGTCCGCCCGAGTGGTCGAGTGTGAGCGATGCCCGCTGCCGCTGCGATGGTGGGACGTGCTGGAGGACTTGCGTCGCCTTCTCCTTCGGGAGGAGTGACCATGACCATGACGACCGCCCCCCTCTTTGTCCTTGTCCCTGTCTCGCTCTCTTTCACCGCCTCCACTCGTTCCTGCTCCATTGCCCGAGTAGCTTCTCGATCGCGGCAGAGTATCTGGAATTCCCTCGAAACGCACGCCCTTCTTCTTGCCCGGCTCTCCGCTCATCGGCGAGGAGGAGGAGGCACCACTGAGTATGGAAACTGGATGCGGAGGACCGTGGGTGGCCGACTGCGTGGATAGAGGTGTGTTCAAGGACCTTTCACCCGCCGAGTGGGTGGGAGAACCCATCAGTTCGGGAGGCAAGGCCGTGGAGGCCACACTTAGATTGGGAGTGGGGAGTTCAGGAATATCGCCTGGTGGCGGAGGCGGTGGATGCAGGATGTCCGCGTACTCGTGCTGCTGGAACTGCTGGGAGGAAACGGCGTGCAGCTGGGAGAGGTGCTGCAGGTGACCGGGTGGCCCCAACATTTTCCCAGCCAGTTCCGGCATGCTGGCGGTGTGCGGGTTCTCCAGAAGCTGCCTCTGCAGTTGGTAGCTGTTTGTGGGCTTCGCTGGCCAGGCTGCATCCAGGTTCGAGGACATCTCGTTGAAGTTGTAGACTCCGTCGCGTTGGAGTTCCATGGGTTTGGGCAGAAAGTGTGGCTGGAAGTCGCCGGGTGAGTTCAGAGGCGATAGGTTCTGCGATGTGCTGGAAGCGCGACCTCCCGAAAAGTCCGTTAGATCTCCTCCGCCCATATGGCTGCCGGGCTCCATATCCTTAACCACGCCCGCATCCGAGTCCGAAGTTGCATAGCTCTTTCCCTGCTCCATCAGTACTCCTCCGCCCGCCGCCTCCAGCTGCTGGCTCTGCATCTGGTACATGGCCTGGTTGAAGGATGCCTGGTGCTGTTGCTGTTGCTGCGGCGACATGGGCGGCGAGCTGGAGGCGTGGCTGCTGGGAATACGAGCTGGCAGAGGCGCCTGTGGATGGGGGCGCACACGCTGCGTGGGCGGAGTGGGCGTGGTATACATTCCGGTGCCGGAACTGTCCGAAGGCGTAGGTGGTTCTCCCTTACTACAGGCAATGGAACAGTAGATAGCCCCACGTCGGGGCAAGAATGCGCGTCCCAGCAGCGAGCAGCGACACGTGTTGCACGAGAAGCACTCGTCCGTCGCATGCCAGTGCTGGCCGTCATGGCTCATCTGGCCCTGGTCCACGCCAATGGCCTCTCCACAATAGTCGCAGTACTCGGCGAACATCGCGTCGAAGCAGTGCAGACAGTACGGTTTGCCTTCCCTCATGATGTACCGCTGGCCGCCCAGCTGCTTGTCACATTCGTGGCACGCAAAGTGGTTCATGTGCCAGGCTCTGCCCTCAGCCTCCGTGCACTCGTCCGCCAGGATGATCTGTGGGTTGAAAAATGAAAAAGATTGGATTAGAAATGGTTTATAAATCGAATGGAGTTCAGCTTCTTACTGCCACCAGGTCAAGCAACCTAATCTATACTGTACTATAATACTTGACTCACCTCATCGCAGGCCGAGCAGCGGGGCTTTAGGGTCTCAGCATGGTGACGTCCACAATACATGCGTCCATCCCGGTGGAAGTAGATGAGGTCCACAAGAAGCTCACGGCAGACGCAGCAGGCGAAGCACGCCGGATGCCAGCTGGCATTCGGACCCAGTCGCGTGGCGAACACGGCAATGTCGCCGGTGGAGATAAGTTCGTCGCACTGCAAGGTGCCTTGGGATTAGATATGGAGTCCAAATGAGTAGGAGTATGGAATACTTACTCCATCGCAGGGTCGGGCACTCATCAGCTGCCGCACGTTGCCGCGGCCCAGGGCATCGCGTTTGCGCTGCGTCGAAAAGAGCCGCAGCTCCTTGCGCTCCTCATCCGTCAATGAGTGACAGTAACGAACCTGCAATGACAGCGAGTAACTGAAAACTGTGGCTTTTCCTTCACCCGCTTTTCCCATGCCCCTTCTCTTCCGTACCCTCCATTCGTTAGAAAAGACAGGGAAATCATATGTTCAAGTGGAGCTCGACAGCATGAGGAACCGTGGGCCGAACCATGCTAACCAACTAAAAACCAAGCCGAACCGAACTAAGCTGAAGCCTGAAGTGATCTTTCCAAGAAGCGCGGACAGGGAACGGGCGGAGATTGTTTGTCTCGGCGGCAGACAGGCCCACATCCCACAAATCCCAGAGCCCGAAGAAACGCAGAGCAAACCGCAAAAGGCAAAACGGTAGCCAGTAGCCCAGGCTGCCCATCAACGCTTCACCTCCAGCCTCCTGCTGTCCACTACATCTCCATCTCCATCTCCATCTGCATCTGCCCATCTCCCCCAGAACGGTCTGCGGTCTCCGGTCTCCGGTCAGCGTCTCGTTTGTGTGTTGTATGCAAATTTTTTCGCCTGCCTCCACTTATTTTTCGGTTCTCTTTTTTTTCTCATTTCGAGCCGGCCTTCAATGAGTGTTCTAGTCATCGTTAGCCAGACTCCAGATCTCAGACCCCAATCCCAGAAAACAGTGATGGGAAGTACCTCAGAAGCTGGCTATATAGTACCTATTAGATATGCTGAGTATCAATTGGAAGCTGGTTAAGTGTTCATTCGACGCTTGTTAAAGCTCAACCATTTAGTAGAAGTCGTTAGATATGTTTTTTCCATTCACTTGATAAGCTGATATATCCTTGAATTGATATTTAAAAAGTATCTTTTAGCTTCGGTTGGTCATAAAATGTATAAAAAACTGTAAGAGTCATAAAGTTTAATCACATCGTTTAAGTTGCTTAAACTTCATAATAATAAAATCAATTTAAATATCAAACCACATATCCCGAGCTTCTCCTAGGCTATACCTTTCCCATCACTGTTCCCAATCCAAGCAACTGATATCTCGGAATCCGCTCAGCATTCCCTGTTTTTGTTCGGCTAGTTTTTTGTGGTCAGCGTCTGCTCTAAATACCGGACTCAGACCGAGTCTGCACTTGTTTCCTCGATTAATTAAAGGTTACAAAACGGGAAATGGTCGGGAGGGATGCTGCACATGGCCAGCAGAGAGATGGGAACGGGAGAGGGAAGGTGTGTGGGAAAATCGTCGCACAATTTGACTTTGAAATGTCATAGCCCGTAATTCGAGTTGGTTTCAATCACGATAAAGCGGCTGCCATGCGATGCCAGCTCCTCCGAATGGGATAAATGCTGCAAAATTGACGGGCCCACGATCCCGAAGGGGTTTGGTCTTGGGGTCAGGTTCTGGTGATGGAGATGGGTATGCGGATAGGGATAGGGATGGGGCTGGGAGGAATCCCTCCTCGTACTCACCTCGTTATCATGCGGCGGAAGTTGATGCAGCAATTGTCGCACACGATACTGCTCCCCCGGACTGTTGACGTATGGCACTTTGTCGTCGGGAATTTGCGAGAAGTACAAGCGAACCTGCGGGAGAACGGAGCAGATGGAATCGAGTGGTAAGTACCTTGCGGAATGGCCAAATACAGTTAAAGGAGGCGCGGGCACTAAGGGTTAAGCTGCCGCGGCACAGCGGGCAAAGATTTTTGATTTTATTACGCTGATTTCTTGGCCGCTCAGCTCAGCTCAGCCATCTCAGCCATTTCAGCCAGGTTGAAAGGTGCACAACGTGCTAAGCCAACAGCCAACTTTATTGGCCACGCTCGCCAAGCGTTCTTTCATCGCCGAAGAGATGGCATTGGCAATGGAAAATGGAAAATGCCAGCCCGAGCGGCGGCTGACTGACACATGGCTTATGCCGCATCAACGTAAATTGCTGCCACATGGCTGTAAATAAATTTTCAATTCTGTTTGTAAAGTCACCCAGCGAAAAAAGAAACAAACCGAAGAAATGCAATGCTAGACATCTGATAGGCCCATCGAATGGGTTGGGATGGGAAGTCAAAGAGTTGGACGCAAAGCGGCAGAGGCACCGAAAAAATTCCGAATTTCAGAGCTGCGAGCTGGGAGTTGGGAGCTGGGAACTGGGCGCTTCTGCCAGGGCAGATTGTGAAAGATTTATTTGGCATTGTCGCATATTTTACGCGAATAATTTACGAGTTCGTTTCGTTTCTCGGCGCCTGGCAAATAATTGAAAAAAGCACGACCACGGCGCTTTCCAGCCACAATTGAATTGGCCATTAAAGTCAAATGCGAATTGAGGAATGGCCGATCCCTCCCTTCGAGGAGGAGCCCTCGCTCCCGAAGCCAGCATTCATTAGCGCTATCTAATTCGCCCGACAGCCGGACTAGACCTTCGCCTAATTGACACGCTCCAATAGAGCCGGTCCCAGTCGACATCAACTGCAGTCGCCTTTGGCCAGAGGCTACTTCGCTGCATCATCTCCTGCTGGCGAGGCGATTCTGGCCACCAGTCGCTGATTTATGGCCCCGTCGCGTGTATTTATTTACAGCTCGCTCCGAGTGACAAAATAACGCACAATAACTCAAGTATCCCGCTTATCGCCAGCCCACAAATCTCGCCATCCAGCTAACCAGCCATCCAGCCAGCCAGCCATCATGCCATCCTCCCATCCCGCTTGTGCCCTTGGCAATTCGCCTCCGTCACACATGCGTCCCTGTGTGTGAGTGCATATCGGAGATGTCTTGGACGCCAAGAAATGTCGAGTGGCTGGACATTTCCAGAGCCTGTTCCGAACTGGGACACAAGAGTGGCTGACCTCATGTGATGGCAAAGAAATCAGAGGTGGAACAGAGAACTCTTCCAACCAAGCTACGATCGGATTTCTATGGGTTATTAGTTTGAATTTAAAGAAAGAAAATGCAGTGGCATCCACATATGACTATCTTCTAACTTATTGGCTTAAACAGCAGCAGAATCTCAAAATATTAGCTCACCTGATCAGGCCGCAGTCCGGGTGGCACCCAGGTGTACTCCTCCAGAGCACAGCCGCTGTCATCGTCCGAGTGCGACTGGCGCTGCATGTCCATGTGCGGTCCGCCCAGGAAAGGAGCGTGTGCCGAGGCGGAGGAAGTGCCACCTGCGGGGTGATGAACCAGCGAGGGTGGCGACGGAGTGGAAAGAGCCGGCGAAAGCTGGTGGTGGTGGTGCGGCGGTGGCGGGAGCTGGGCATTCGAGTACTTGGGGTTCGTGGAACAGCCTGGTGAATACTGAGGGCCAAGGGGCGGTCCACCTGCAGTTCCCGGTCCTGGTCCCATGCCCATACCCATTCCCGCTCCCGGGAGCTGTTGGTGGTGCGGCGGCAAGTACTGCTGGTGGCGCTGCAGGGGCAGCGGGGAGGTGGGCAAGATTCCGGCTGCGGTCTGGGCCGCATAGAGGGCGCTGGCGGAAGAGCTGCTGGGCAGACCCAGGCTGCTGTTGCCGAGGGCGGGTGGCGTGGCCAGGCCCTGCCCACTGGGCGAGAAGTGGCGCGGCAGCGTGGGGATCTTCTGCAGATAGGAGATTTGCGTTAGCGGCGTCCGGCTGATGGGCCTGCAAGTGGGTGGAAAAGAAGAGGCGGAAAACGTGACTTGGCGACCAGGCTTGACTAATCAGAATTAAATTAAAATTTAAAAATTTCATTAAAATATTTCCGGCTGGCCGGACGAGGGGCAGGGTCAAAGGTTGGCAGAGGAGGAGCTGAAATGGAAGGAAAACGTGGTAATCCCTCGCCGCAAAGCCGAATCATATTGTTAATGTAATATAAAACCGCATGGAAATCGCATTCATTGTATTCCTTTTGTAACTCGTTGGATTTGTGCGGTTTTTCACTTCCTATTTTCCCGTCGAACAAGCTGTCAATTTTAGTTTGTTTTTCATGCGTTTTTTATTTTGACATGGACAAAAGTGGGTGGCTTTCTGGTTGGGGGAGGGAGTTGTTTTTCCAAACGTCAAAATGAAAAATATACGCTTCACAGCATTTACACAAACAAATCGACAGCTCTGTGTTGCTTTTGTGGCTGTTTTGTTGTTGTTTTGTTTCTGTTTTGTTTTTGCTTTGTTGCTTGTTTTGTTGTTGTTGTTGTTGTCGTTAAGCCCGCAGGGCTGTCGCTGTTGTCATTTTGCCATTTTCTGACATTGTTATCCTAGACTTCAATGCCCTGCAACCCGTTTCTTCTGGCATTTTCGATAGCAAAGATTTTTGAGGAAAACCAGTTTGTATTTTATCTTTGTAAGAGTTCATAAATCTACTTTTGATATAAAGGCGAAACAAGTTCTATAATAGAACTCATTAGCCAAAAGTGTTTACTTTGCATATCTAAGGAAAGCTTCATATTAAGATATGTCCGTACATGGAAAATATTCCCCCTCTTGATACACCTTAGTTGTTGTGACTTCTCGTCTTCATAATAAGTTAAAGGAACATATTAAACTCAGAAAACTGATGGTATTTTCCCGATTTAAGCCTGTTATTATATCAATATGAAAACAAAAGCAATTGCAGGGGTTTCAGGTGAAGGTGCAGAGTGAGCAACTCTACTGCAAATTTGGCTGGTAACTTTAAACTTCCATAACATAAGCCACCAATTTTCTCTGTTTCAACAATTCTGAGTAAAAAAGATTTGTCAAACAAACAATTTGAATGTTTTTATGAGTTTTTCTATTCAATTTAGAGACTTATCAAACACTCCGAACTCGAATTAAATCTCCTAACCCTTTAATCCCCCATCAATTAAAGGTTTCTCCCCCTTTCCGCAGCGCATTCGCAGCACTCCTTTGACATCGGGGAAATGAACACGCACCATTTCATGGCAGTTTGCTGTTTGCTGTATCAAAGGATAACTGTGCATTGCATCTGCACACACACACACACACATGCCCTCATATGGTACATACATACAGCATATAGATATATCTGAGTGGTCTGTGGGCGGTGCGGGGGCGTGGCCCAGGCTGAACTGAACTGAAGCGAACTGGAAATGCGAGTTCATGCGGGCGTTTTATCAAAACAATGCTGTCCGCCCTTTTGTTGTTTTAGCCAGTGAATTCTTTCTTTTCGCCAGCCACATCCCGATTTAACATTTTCCAATTCCATTTCTAGTTGGCCAAACAGGGAGAGGGACACTGACGTGTCAATAGCTGGCCGAGTGCTATGTGCCAAGCGGTTTCTGCGGTTTGCCGGCAAATTAATTGCGCAGATTTCGACTTTCAATGGGGAATAAAACCCGAAAAAATTGTTTGACATTTGGATTTTTGAGCTGTAAATGCAAGAATGCGTGCTGGAACTGTAATGGAGTTTTTTGGCTAGGGAGTGGGTCGGGGTGAAATGCAACTCCAAATCCAAATCCATAGCCAAATCCCCGGGCATGCACGTGCAACGTGTCGCAGCTGGAGCCCCGATTGCCAAGTGTTGCCCGCCGTCAAATCAGCCGCTTTCAAACTCAAATTACCAGTTCCCGACTTGGGGCTTCGACCAACTGAAAAGCCAGCCGAAAGCCAGGCGAAACTGTGCCTAAACTCTATAAATTCGCCTGGGAGCCTGCGGGTCTGGCTGGCGAATTTATTGCGCGACCTGCATTTCTTCTTGGCCCTCTTTTTCCACGTTTTTTCCTGCAGCAGCACAAATTTATTGTTGACTGCAGCGAATTGCGTGAAATTGGCAAAGCAATTGTGGCAAGTTTCAATTTGGCACAGGTCTATGAAGTCATTAAGGCGGGAGAACAAAATGGAAAGTTGGTGTGCGTGCTGGCCATGTTGCGCAACATTGTTGCCCAGGCCAACGGCAAAAGCAGCAGAAACTGCAACAGAAACAGAAACAGAAACAGGAACAGGAGCAACAGGCAGGGCAGAAATAAGCCCGCCGGTTTCGAGCTCGGACGGCAGCTGTTGACGCATTGCATTGCATTGATCGACAGTGGAGGGCTCTGGCTCAATTACTTTGGCAGTCGTTGACCCAGAGAACTGGTTTGGCCTGTCTAGGCCCTGTGGAAAACTAGTTCACAGCCCGGGTTGGCCCATTGAGGGCCAGATGGGGGGCCAGATGCAGCTGCTGCTCTTCCTTCTGCTTCCTCTCCTCCAGAGATCTGCGGCAAGTGCCTATATTTAGCCACGTCTCCGCTTATCTGGCATCCAAATGAATGATCATTATGCGGCGGCCGCGTTGACAAATTGCCACAGAGCTTGAGCGATGAGCGACGGCTCAATGCTCGGCTAAAGACAGTTTAGCGGATGGCCGAAAAGGGGCGGAGAGCCGTCTCCGGGGCACCGAATCAACCAAACAAAAGGTTAGCCCCAAATCACTTTGGCACTTTGTGTGCGGTTTTCTCAAGTCATTTGTGTGATTTGGGTTAATGTCGGAAGAGCAGCCGAAAAATAATCGTGTGGGTATCTGTATCTGTATCTGAATCTGTATTTGTATATACCTGCTAATACTTGTGTATCCGCAGCGAAAGTTACACCAGGGAGTCCAGTGCGAAACTTCTTTTCCATCTTACTTCTATACACGGAGAGAAACCTGATAGTCTTTTCCATTTTAACACTAAACTGCTTTACAAAACTGATTCCTTGAGTAAGGACATCCAAGGACTAACTTCTTTCGGGTATATCCATACTAACTTTAGATATATAACTTATTATACTAATTCTGCACTCCTTGTATGGGCCGTGTAAGGACTGCTTGTATGGCCTCTTGTGAGTTCAGGGACAGGTGTCGCACCATTAAGACTTGTTTGCTTTTAGTTTTACGACGTCTCTCAGCTGGACAGCAATTATGTGGCAGGACTGCCAGTGCCTTCCTCCGCCCCACCTTTATCCTTATATCCTTTTATTGTTTTACTAGCCCTGGCAGAGCAGCAACAACAACAGCAACAAAACTTTATTAAAAAGCTTCGCCAGCTTCGTGTTCGGTGCGATTGTCATAAACGATTTTTGAATTGTCCATAAAATTGCTGGCCGAGAGAAAGGAAGGAGCGGTGGAAAAGCTCGTAAAGTTTATATGGGGGAGAATGTCCATATTCCCCGAGAACTCAGATCCCAGAACCCAGAACCCAGAACCCAGAAACCATAACCACTTGGCATTTTTCCACCGGACCAGCCGCACAACCAGCACGTTTTGTTCTGTCTGCCTTGTCAACATGACATTTGCCGTGTTGACATTTTTATTGACTTTGGCAGGCAGCAGGCAGTGGGCAAACGGTTTTTGTTCTCGCCCAGCCTGAAAGTTGATTAAGAATGCCAGTCTGGCGATCCCCTTCCCACCTGTGTGTGTGTGTGTGGTCCGCTCGCAGGTGCGTTTATTACGCATACGCCAAGTAGTGCTGCCACTAATTGCCAGTCCTGAAGGCTGCGACGCGGCGACTGTACCGCTCTACGATTGCTAATTTGCTGTTTCAATTTGCCCATTTAGAAAGTTGCATAATGGCGCGAATTGCGTTCGCTTATCTCATGGCCACAGCCGAAGACCAAAGACTAAACCAATTAAAGTTCGGGCGGCACACAGGCCACATTGCCACTCATCGCAGGCGGCAAATATGCTGCTCCAGCATTTGAGCCGATCTTCTTTGTTTCCCTCCTCTGCTAACGGGCAGGAAAATTGTTTCCCGAGCGTGCAAATTTTCACAGCTGCAAACAGCAACAGCAACAGCTACGGCAGCAACTATGCCAGCAATTTGTGTGCTAAGCGGCAACATTGAGGCTGAAGAGCCCCCCGTAACCATCCCATCTTCTCTGGGAGCCAAAGACGCCGCGAACCCTCTTCGCTGGAAAATGGAAACACCAGAAACACCAGGCAGCAGCAGCAGCAGCAGCAACACCACGATCAGGTTTGTGTAAGAACCTCGCTCTCGTAATGGCCGTAAGAGAAATTGCATCATCAATGCAAATTCGGTGAGCTAAAGGCGGGCGATAGGAGAAGTTCCAATTTGTTTTCAGGGTAATTGATTCAAGGCATTATTTTTTATTCGGGCAACCGCCAATTAATTGCGAACTTTGTGGCAAATACATCAAAGTGTAAGAGCTGTTGGAAAACGCGTGTGTTGTTCTGGGTCGCCCACCAGGTAGTGCCTTTCCCCTTATCCCCTTACCCCTTTCTCCATCAATGCCAATACCAATACCATAACCATATATCCGTGGCTGTGTGTGTTCCAAGTCGGGGCCCACGGCATTCATCCGGAGACGTTAGCTGCTTCTGCGGTCGTTGTCTTTGGTCTATGAACTTGTTTTCCCCACTTCGGACTGCCTCCGCCCCCCACCATGGAACCCCTTCGTCTTTCGCCTTTTTAATTGAAGCCGTGTCTTTGGCTGTGTTTTTTGTGCTTTTTTGTGTTGCTTTTTTTTTTGCCTCATGCTTTTTTGTTCCTTGTCGTCTTTGGGTTTCTTCTACGACTTTTTTGATGCTTCGATTTTTATACATTAATGCTGCCTTTATTGCCGGAGTGATTATGCTCAATTTTGTTTTTGACCATAATTACATTTCGTTCTCCTTCGAACGCATCCGTTAGGTTGAGGAGTTTCATCTGGGATTGGAACTTATACTGGGTCTGGGTAAGGGGCTT